CGTATCGTTGAAGTTCCTCGGAAAGAATTTCTACCGGAAATTAACAAACAAGCAGATACGTAACAATATAGTAGGAATTCTCATTTGTCTTGCATTTTGTAGAATGAACACATGTACAGGGATTTGTGGCTGGATTAACATCCAATCTGTACAAAGATATCATTTCTTCATAATAAGAGTTAATATTGTCAATATGGTACTCTGATAGTATGAAAGTTCTACTTGGCATTTTTCTCAACTCCTTTCATGTTTAACTTGTCATTCTAGCTGTACATGCAACTGCCACCATCATAAATCCCCAGGAAAGACCTCTGCATCCTGGTTTGTACCATGTTTTAGATTTAGTCCCACTAACAGGATGGTAACAGAATTTTTTCCATGACACTTAAGTAGACATATGTTTCAAAAGTGATAACGTACTTCCAATTGTTACAAACCAGATAATGCTTGCATTGTTTGACAACTAGTCTTCCATTCAGTTATATGCTTTGAAGAAAACTTGCAAACATGGACTTGCATCACTTTTGTAGACCAAAGTCCAGATAGCTTATACTATTTACTCTTCTGTGGCAGGTTTCTACTTTAGCTGCAATGGATCACCACCTTCTTAAGTTTACTTCTAGCTATTTAACTTTCTTCACTTGATTTGATAAGTTTGTCTAAAAAATAAAAATATTTTGATTCCTACTGGATTTTCCATGCACTGCTAAGGTTCAGAAGTGCAGCTGTTGCACTGCTAAGGTTTAGAAGTACAGCTGTTGCACTGCTAAGGTTTAGAAGTACAGCTATTGCACTGCTAAAGTTTAGAAGTACAGCTGTTGCACTGCTAAGGTTCAGAAGTACAGCTGTTGCACTGCTAAGGTTCAGAAGTACAGCTGTTGCACTGCTAAGGTTCAGAAGTGCAGCTGTTGCACTGCAGTTTTATTTGTTAACCACTATTATTACAATGATATAAATCTTTATCAGAAAAAATTGTTTCCATTAATGTTTCTGGTAGAATTGCAAGTTGATGGGGAATGTCAAGCAACTTTCATTATATTGCAACTTTGAAAGATCCGCGAGACCCTTTGAAAGTCTGATTAGACTAAAAGTATATACGCATTGAATAACAAATTTGTTTATGCTGCATTTTATTCAAACTTATTATAATAATTTTCATAAATCAAACCCTCCTTTTATTTGCAGTCAACAACTTAGGAGTTTTTTGAATTAAAAGTTTTTATTCAATGTTTCACTGATGAAAATGTTTTGAGGTAAATTAAGAAAAAACAGACTCTCTCTCTATTTTTAGGAAATTTATGAATCTTTCAATTAGTTTAAACCTTTTTTATTACAAAAGGGATAAGAAAAAATCCTTTTTCAAAAAGAAAAATAATGTACGCTTCCTAACAATAATAAAATTGATTCCGTAAATATTTATCATTTTTGTAATACGAGATACCATTACAGCATTCATGGAATATAGTTGTTGTGTATCTTCTGTATCATTAGGTATCAACTTGTCTTATCAAAATTACTTGCAGAAAAATTTATATTCTAAAATTTTCATACCTTATTTCCCAACACACCATGTTGAAAGATCTAGTTTTTTGTATTACATAATATTTGACAAAACTGAAAAGTATCACACTTTATAAGAGTTCCTACAACAATTAAGTTTATTCTAAACAGTCTAAATCTTGCTTCTAGTTAATTAGATCATCAATGGTTGTAAAAACATGCCAAAGGTCATGTTTTATGTTTTGTTAACAAACACAATAATAAAAAATGTTCATTGTGGTGAACGAAATAATAATTTGATCTAAGTAAGAGTTTTTTTTTTTTCCCCAATTTGTAAAAAATCTTTAACGTGATAGAAAAAAATGAATAATATTTTCGAAATCTGCATAGCCGAATTATGGAAAAACCTGTTATTAAAACCAAAATAACTTTTATGAAGTTTAAATTTGTAGGCCTGTGATATCAATCCACTCAATACAATTGAAAGAATAACAAGTTATTATATCTTTCAATTTTTGTATATAAACTAGCCTCCTTGTAAAAGTATTATGTGTAGATTTATAGATGTAGTTAATAATAAACACAGTATTCTGCTATTTCTGCACAATCTGGTTTTTTCTTAATGGTTTCACCCACACTAAAGGTTGATGTAGCAAGTGCTTTATGTGGGATTATTTCTAGTGCTGCTGAAAATTGCATACACTGTGGTTATGCTACAAATTGAAAAATACACATTCACGTACGTCCTTCCATGAGATCCCGTTCCAATTCTGTTTATCCACAGAAGCAGCAGATGCTCTCCTCCACACTCTGTTGCCAGTTTCAATGCTGGCGTTTCGACAGCATATACTTCTCGGTTCTCATCAATGGAAGATACGCTGTCTTCATCACTGAAGATCTGGTGAGATCCATCATCTTGAACTTCAATCAAAATTATCTAAGGATAAAAATCTTATCACTTAACTGGATAGATGTAGATAGGGTTCTGTGAAACCACAAGATGTATTTCTACAAATTTCCTTTAAAATTATTTATTTTCAACAGATCTGAAAAATAATTTGAAATAGTATGGTAATGGCAGTTTTCCACTGGCTAGCTGAACAAATATATATATGATACATGATCCAAATACAAAAAAGATCTCATGACTTGCACGTTTTCCATAATATATATGCATCAAGTTTACAACATTTTGTGAAAGTAAATTTTGAAATGTAAAAATTTGTGCAGTTCAGCTTAACATATAAGTTGTCTACAACTAAGCTCAAATATTCAAAATAGTTCAGAAGAATAAATCAGTAGCATTAATGCTACATATTCTTCAAATTCTATATATATATATATAAAATTCAAGACAACTCACAACATCTACATATGAATTCATGTTGGTTCCAAAAGCAAATCAAATGGACTTTTATGCTATCAGGAAATCATAATTATATGAACAATCAATTCTTTATATTTGCTAATGCTAATAAAAATTCAATAATAAAGTTCTAAATCCACAATTAAAATACAGGAGATACAATATGAAACTTGATCACACAAACATATTAATACACCACGACCAAACCTGGTCAAGTATGGAGTGAGGAGGATGATTATACAGAATATAATTTACATTTTATGTACATATGAGGGTATAATTAACAAAGCAGGAGGAAGTTTTAATTAGTACTTCAAATATTAAAGTATATAAGCTAATTCCAATTCTTGTATTCAAACCACAATCATAAAATACTAATGAGTCAATGTTTTTATATAAGCAGTCACCTTTTATCAGGTAATGGCACTGTTACAAAATAATAGTAATACACTCCAAGAATATTATTATTTATTGAGTATTGGTACTGTTCCAAAAGTAACACCCTTTACCAGGTTGTGGCACTGTTCCAAGAGTTTAAACATTGTTCTATCAAGACAAGTAGTACATTCCCCAAATTAAACCACTTTCTTAAGCCTATAAATCGTTCTTTGTCAATTTACTATTATATTAGCATAATATGCTTCCATACACAACTAAGAAAAGTCTCCTTCATGGTACATTTTGAAAAGCATCTAATTACTTAAAATTTTCACTAAAATGAAGAGTCAGAGGGCAAACAGTTCATTGTAGTGAGAAGCAGTCTTATGATATAGAATAATGCCAACCGAAACAAAACATGTTGTAAAATGCAACTTGGAAAATATATTCCAGAAAAGAATAAACAAACCAAATAATACACCTATTACTGATGAGTTTTACACAATAAAAATATTAAGTGTAAAATCATCTATGAAACGTGAACATTCTTCATAAAACAATATAGATAAGTCATTACAGTCTCTCTCCAAGTGCCTTTAACACTATCACGACAGGTAATGCAGCTACAAAACAATCAACTTAATGAGTTCTGAAGTTAATTATGTTAATACATTAATAAAGCAACTCACAGTATATCACTCATAACTATATAGAATCAGAATTCTTTTTAGAATTTGAGAAAATTATTAATTTGAATGCATCACATATTGATTATAGTAACAACAAATAACTTTTGTTGTAGGCTTAACTGTTCATCAAAGTATACATACACACACATGCTTCAGGCATCTCCACATGGTTTCAGTTTTTGTTGATCAACTCCAATGACAGTTGACAATCATGGATAACAAAGTAGTCTATGTTATCTTAAATTCTATGTTACAAGAAGGATATGATGATCGTAATGTATTAACAGATTAGATAAAGAAAAGAAACTAAAATTTTTTTTAGTGATGTTGTAGTGTGTTTTATTACTTATCATTCCAGTCATTTATAAAAGAAAAACAAAATACTCCAATAACACACAGACAAAAGTTTCACACGGTTAAAGAAAATTAATGTGGTTTTTGGAAATGTTAAAATATCTACCTTACAATTAAAAAAATCAGAAATTTACCTGATTATTTGGAATTTGGTGTTTTTTTGAAAGGTTTACTCTGAGTTCTTTCACAGCAGCTTGAATATCCATATTGACACCAAGTTTGATCTGGAGAAAACAGGAAAATTCAGAATTTGTTTTTTTTTCATTTCTTACAAAAAACATATATTCAAAATACAAAATAATTAACCATTCCAATAAATACCAGGTGTAATTAAATGAAAAGTACACCAACCTAACAACTAAATGAAAAGTATAATAACATTTCTTCTGAGGGCTGGGCATTTGAATAACAGCAAAAAAAAAGAAGGTGAATTCACCTTATTCATAAAATGAATTATGGAAAAATACAGCAGAGTCATGTATATGCTTCTAATATAAAGCTGCACAACTAAATAAATAGCATGAATTGCAGAAACATGCACACAACACACAGAGCTTCAAACTGTTTGATATACTTCAAAACAATTGAAAAACACACTAATTTTCAAAATAAAATAAAGCCAAACTGCAAGATATTTTACATAAAAAATGAGATATGGATTTAACGCACATTTGTCCCCCCCCCCCAAAAAAAAATATTCAAAAATCAAGAAATGTTATACAGCTTTATTTAAACCTTTCTTGTACACTATTATAGGGAGTTCAATTTCACTGGATTCTGGTTACTTCGGTTCAAGTTGTATTATTGTTTGCAGCGAAAATAAAATACAATTCTATCTAACAATGCTAATATAGAAAAAATTAATAACCTATAGACTAAAACGTATGCAGTACAATTTAAATTAATTAATAGAAATTAATATGTGGGTTACATGCTGTGTAATAAAATACATCACATTTACTTTCCTCAATAGATTTTATTGACTTATTTTGTATCTCAAAACAAATATAGACAAATTAATAAAGGAAACATCTTAAGGTTGGAAGAAGGCTTTAAAATTTAACAATTAATGATTCTTCTTTTATTACATACAAATTATAAACCATTCCTCTTGAACTGACCCAGTCTTGGGTAAGTGAAAAACTCACAATTACAATAAGAGTCAAAACTCCTCACCTGCCTTGGATCTCCTTTTAATCGTACCAAGTTTACAAATACTGGCCTTGTTTGTCGATGGGGAATGGGGAGAGATAAACAGAGGTAAGGATCAAAAGTGTTGCTCTGCTTTTGACAATTAGAGCAAATAAGTGAAGAGCGAAACTGGCCCTGGAACCAGTCAAGAACAAAGCTACTGTTGCATCTGGAATAGTTGGCGAGAGTTTCAGCAGCTGCAGTTTCATCTGTTCGACCATGACTGTTCTAGAAAGTTTAAATGCTAGAATTGTTAATAATGTAATACAATAAAACCTGTTCCTACACGAGCATGGTAATAATAATAATAATAAAAGATCAATCATTAATTAAACAAATAATCTCTATTCACATATGTGATAGAAAACAAATTTCCATGCTGGAAACTTGTACATTAGATGATTAGAGGGAAAATACACTAGTTAAATTTACCTTGGAAAATACACATTAGTAAATTGAATTGTTCATTCCTTATTTAAAGACAGAGAAAAAGTAAGAGAAGAAGAATTCAAATATAATAGCAATTATAGTTCATGATCTTTATAAACAATTCATATCTATCAAATCACATGTTATTGTTTTCATAACATAATCAGGTAGCTTGAATATTCAAGCTTTGTTTTGTTATAGCATTGTTCTGTTGTTAGTGGGTTACTTTCAATTATTCATTGAAAATAATTAAATCTCCAATTCATTGAAACTATCAAAAATTAGTTTATTTTCTCCTTTAACATTTCTACAGTCTTGAACACTTGTACACTGTCATAACTTATTGTAGGCCTACATTACAAATTACATTCAAACTTCTTTAACAATCAAATCAACCTAACTTAACCTTATCATTAAGATCCATAGCCCCATCTAGATTAAAAAACGAATTACAACACTCAAATTATATGTTACAACAGTTTTTGTGTAAAATATATGATTACTTTAGCAAAGGATTTTACCCCTGGTCTGATCCAGTTCATATGGTTGCACAACCCTATGATAAAAATTAATCTGATAAGCAACAGAAATTGCAAGCAAGCCAATAATGAAGTCTGTATGGAGGAAAGAAACACTAGTTTACATAAAGTTAAACATGGTTTCCATTGTTGCCAATATAGGGACTAGTTACAGCAAAAAAGCTTAATCATAAAGGCTTGTGACTAAGTTCTTCCCCCACTTCTTAATAAAACCACACAATCAATGAACTCATAAGATGGTTTGATATCTCCATCAATGCACTGTGAGCACCTGTTCTAAACTGGTGAGTGTATATGGCAGAAATAGCATGGTTAAAATACTATTATATTCTGTTCTTCTTGAAAAACCCCAAGGGATTGAATAAAGAACGCAGTATTAAGAATATAGTAGGCTAATACTTATGTATTATGACAAGTATAATGAACCTTTTCTACTGGAGTAAACTGGGAAAGTGTGACAGACTAAGTTTGTAGATCCAAATTTTGTTTCATAATGAATATTTTAAATTGACACAATTACCAAGAAAAACATTTTAAATATTAGGGTTTTCATGCACTAAACAAAGGAGTAAGTTCTAACATCAAAATTACATTCTAACTTAATCCTTTACTTTAGAACATTTCAGTTTTTTTTTACCCACAATGCACTCGTTATTTGTCTTTGAGACACCGTTAGGATTTTCACAAGCCTATATTAATAATTTATATTTTACACAATAAAAAGCGACGGATATATCAATATGGCTTCATGAGAAAACAACAACAACAAAAGATTGAAAAACTCAACAATCATTTAACAGGTCAATTCCTCTCTGCCACATAAGTGCAGGTTTCGTAAATAGGATAAATATGACTTCTTTCTTTGATCTGTACCTTCCGATATAGGATCAGCTACGTACTCGGCAAATAGATTGCTAGTAAAATAAAATAAGCTTTAACATCAATAAAGGGAAGATGGTCAGTTTTAACAAAGATTCTTTGTTTACAGTTGACCAATAAACGAAACAAAAGACTTCTTAAAACAAAATTACTTCAATGTCTTTAAGAGCTTACAGAAATCGTCATCACACGCTCCTTAAAGAAAAAATGGAAAAATATTTATACACTTTTCCAACAGTTACAGTATCATATAACTTTTATCACCATCAAAAGGCGAGGAAGACAATTTTAGGAACAGCAACTAGCGACATCTACATGCGAAATACTAGTATCAACTACAGTTGAATGTTCTCGTATCGTGGATTTGGATAAACGCCTGAAAAACAACAATTCCAATTGGCCCCGCGTTTTTCAGGATATGAAAAACTGTGGATTGTTTTTATGGGCATGGTTTGCGCTAGTTAGGCTGCGGGTACCGATAAATTACGTCAAGAAATCTTAACAAAGGTTACTCCTACAATGTTTGAAAACACATGGCAGGCGATTGGATACTTTGCGTGTAACTCCTGGTGCAAAAAGTTAAACATTATTTTTGGACGCACAACAAACAGCCTGTCTCTATGTTAAATGGTTTTCCCGGTATGATTTTTCAAAAGTGTTTCCATTAAACGTGTACATTCCATTACAAGATCCCGCGATTGACGACATTTGATCTTAACACAAAGTAGCACAAAACATTCGTTGTATAGTGCTGGTGGACTTGACAGTTTATCATAAGCCCGCAGGCTTCGCATGTTTTGTTTGTTTGTTTGTTTTGAATTTCGCGCAAAGCTAAACGAGGGCTATCTGCGCTAGCCGTTCCTAATTTAGCAGTGTAAGACTAGAGGGAAGGCAGCTAGTCATCACCACCCACCGCCAACTTTTGGGCTACTCTTTTACCAACGAATAGTGGGATTGACCGTCACATTATAAC